CTCATCAATATCCTTTTATTATACTGTAGTTTAAAGCTATAGAGCTTGGCATTGACCACATGTTTGACTCATTATATCCTTTTATTATTACTGTAAAACTTAAGCTATAGGGCTTGGCATTGACATGTTTTTGATCATCATTCCTTTTATTAGTCCCTAACCGGTTAACAACCGGAGGGGACTTTAGGTTTACCCTCCGTCCGTCTGTCTGTCTGTCCGTCTTGTCTGTATGTCTGTCTGTCAGTCCGTCAGTCCGTCCGTCCACAAAACTGGATCCCGCGGATAACGCAAAAAGTACTGAAAATATTTTTTTATGAAACTTGATATTATGGATAGATGGCAGTATGGAGATTATGCACGTCTTTTTTTTTTCTTCCTATGTTGAAAATTCTTGTTTGCTATGGCAACAAATAGTCTGAAAATATGGCAAATTTAAACACATAAACTGGATCCAGTGATAACTCAAAAAGTACTGACAATATTTTTATGAAAACTTGAAATATGGGTTGATGGCAGTCTGGAGATTATGCACATCTTTTTCTTTTCTTCCTATGTTGAAAACTCTGGTTGCTATGGCAACAAATAGCCTGAATTTCAAGATTTCTGATTTAAATTTTTCAGCTTTTTCACTATATGTTCTTTATTTCTTAAGGTGTTTACTTCAAACTTTAAATATAAGTTTCTGGTCATCAACCAAATCATATGTGACAAAGGTTTATAACTCTAGCACAAAAAATATCAGTATTACCTCCTTGAACTTAGATTTTTTAGGGGAAAAATGTTGTCTTTTTTAAATAACTTCTTTATTTCCTAATGTATCTACTTCAAACTTCATATATATGTTTCTTATTATCACTCGACATTTTTGAGAAGGTTAAATACTCTAGCAAGACTATTTCCAGAATTATGTCCCCCTTGAACTTAGATTTTTTTTCGAGAAACTGGTATTTTCACTCCAACTTCTTCATTCCTTATAGGATTTACTTTAAAATCCCACATCGTAATAATATGACAAGGTTGTATAAACATAATTTCCTTACTAAGCATGGAAACTTAATACATTTACTGTGATATAGACAAACTTATTTTATTATGTTTTGTGGTGATATTTTCAAATACAGACTTCATCCTCAAATTCATTATAAATGGCAATACACAGGAGTGTATGACAATTAAAGAACTTTTTGAGGTACCGGTAGGGGACTACTGTATTGCCCGCAATACTATCAAATGCTTGTTATACTGTACTTAAAGCTATAGGGCTTGGCATTGACATGTTTGACTCATCATATCCTTTTATTATACTGTACTTAATGCTATAGGGCTTGGCATTGACAATGTTTACTCATCATATCCTTTTATTATACTGTACGTAAAGCTATAGGGCTTGGCATTGACATGTTTGACTCATGCATATCCTTTTATTTAAATCTGTACTTAAAGCTATAGGGCTTGGCATTGACATGTTTGACAACCTCAATCATATCCTTTTAAATTAAAATTCTGTATATGGTTATATGCCAGAATGGACAATTTGAATCTGTTTTTAATTTTAGCTTTTCAAAGTTAAAACATGAAACTACTTACTGAGGTGATCTATTTTTTTTGCATTTGTTTCTTAACTTCTTCTTTTAATGTGTCCTCTATGGCCGAAAGGTCAAAAGGTTACTGAATTCAAACCTCCATATGGCCTCTCGCTTCAAGCTTTGGGTTGAAAATTCTAACTAACCCGTGCATATGGAGAGAGCTTCCAGCTTAGCTTAAAAAAGGTAAAGTGATTTTTAACAAAAATGACATTCATCGAGGAAACCGTAATAGAAACCAAAAAAAAGATTTTTTTCTTTTTATTTTAAAAACCAAACTTAAATTTTACACGTTTAAAAATAAAAAATTTGGGGAATAATGCTTTCCAATGCAGAAAATTTTATATTGATTAACCAAATTTATTATGCCCATTTGGCCCTAAATTTATTTTTTCCATTGAAAACAAATTTGTTGATCAATTAAAGAAATCCCATAGCTATTAATTTTGTATATAAATGTCTGGAAAATGATAGTTATATGTAAATAGGAAAAAAAATTTTTGTATTTGGGGTAAACTTAATATAAATATTATTATTTTCAAAATATTCTTTATTTAAGTAAATTTGGGGAAAACCTAAAAAATTTTTTTGCCCTTTTGGAAAAATTTAATGGGGTAAACAAATTATCTGTGTTAATTATTAGGTAACTGAATATGTGTGTCAATTGGTAAACTAAATATTTGATTGTGTCAATTAGTTAAATATCTTTGTCAATAAGGAATCAGTTGGTAAACTGAATATCTAATTTTTTTGGCAAACTACATATCTTTGTCAATTGATAGACTAAATATCTATGTCAATTGGTGAACTGAATACTTTGTCAATTGGTAACCTAAATATCTACATGTATTTAAATTGTTAAACTAAATATCTTTTTTTCAATTGGTAAACTAAATATCTATGTTTATAGGCAAACTAAATATCTATTTCAATTGGTAAATGGAATACCTTTATCAATCGGATTATATCTATGCTAATTGAGAAACTAAATTTCTTTGTCAATTGGTAAACTGAATACCTTTGTCAATTGGTAACCTAAATATCTATGTTTATTGGCAAACTAAATATCTATTTCAATTGTTAAATGGAATACCTTTATCAATCATATTATATCTATGCTAATTGAGAAACTAAATTTCTTTGTCAATTGGTAAACTCAATACCTTTGTCAATTGGACTGGCGTAAACTTAATACTTTGTCAGTTGGAAAAAAAATAATTATCTTAGGTCAGAAATGTTGACATTGAAGTTGATTTAATTGATGTAGTTACATGAATACAAAATTTGAACATCTTGACTTCTGGAACCAAAAGTGATTGGCCTAGTATAACACGAGGACAGCCAGCACATTTGTTCAATCTGAGCAGACTGTATACAATCTGAGCAGACTGTATACTGACAATATCATGTTTGTATTTTAATATTGAAAAACTTAGATTGTTTCAATTTTCAAAACTGGGGCAAATCCATTTTACAAATTCAGCTGGTTAAATACCTTAATAATTAAGATATCCTTATGTGGTGACGGAGAGGGGGCATGCTCTTGTGTGTTCAAGTATGATTACAAATATAACCCAGAGATACAGGACTGTAGCATGCCACCAGTCTGTCAATAAATGTCAATGATCAAACGTAAAGTTGCTTGATTTTAAAGTTTGTCATTTGCCTAGAATCATGAATTACTATATACAACTTTTAAAATTTCAAAATCATCGTGTTAATTTCACAGGTGCTGAGATTGCCTGAAAGGATATACCTCATTTAAAGCTACAAATTCAGTCTGTAGCTTTCCCTGTATCATGTACTGGTGAAAGGAACCCTTTGACTAAAAGTTTACATCTCCCAGTCTTTAGTTACACACGATTGAAAGTTGTAGCAGTAAGATTCTTTTATGAAACGCACCCCAGATATCTAGATGATTTTTCTTGCTTATCGTGTACTTGAAATATGTGGTTGATTGTCTCCCCTGTTTTATTATATATTTCAGATATATTGATGATTGCTCTCCCCTTGCTTATTATGTACTTGAAATATGTTGTTAATTATCTCCCTTTGTTCATTATATATTTTAGATATATTGATGATTGCTCTCCCTTGCTTATTATGTACTTGAAATATGTTGTTAATTATCTCCCTTGTTCATTATATATTTCAGATATATGGAGGACTTCTCTCCCCTGTTGGCAGACTGTAAATGCTATGCATGTGAAAATTTTACCAAGGCTTACATAAATCATTTACTAAATACATCTGAACTTCTGGCATCAACATTATTGATGATGTAAGTGTTTTTACTAGTACATAGTATGTTAATTGTTATCAACTTATCATATACAAACTTGGTTATACTGTAACTAAAGGGGTTTATTTCATTAATCTATGATAAAATTTATGTAGTTAAGGGAACAAAAGTTTCAGGTCTGACCTGTAACCTGATTAATTTGTGCAATTGACCCACCATTTTCTGTGCAGCAAATATCATTACTGTAAGGGGCTTAATTTCTATTATGACAATGATGTGCCCCTCCATGCATTATTTCAGTCATGAGTGGATACTTGAGTAGAACCACTGACATTCCTTGGTTCCTGGTGGGATTTGAACCCACAGTATTGAGGGGCGAGTGGTTTGACGCTGATGACCTTAGCCACTCAGCCATGGACATCAAACGTTTTTATACCTATTCTATATAATATATTCAAATAACATATACTTATGTACACACATCTTTTAGTTATTTGTTAATATGTCAATTTTTTTATTAACATCCATGAATGTCCTGTTGATATCCATTCATAAGACTAGTTTTTACAATGTTGCCCCTTTATTACTCTGACAAACAGATGGGTCATTATGAGGGAAGTTAAGTTTGTTTTACTTGTCTTTCTATTTCAGACATAATTTTCACCACTATTTTCAATTCTTCAAGACAATAAGAGAAGCTCTGGCAGAGAACAGATTTCAAGACTTGCAAATATTAATTGAAAAACAGACTCCAATAAAGGAAGCATCTTAAAATTTATTCAGGCACTTTTTTATACTTTTTCCAACACACATATTATAAAGATGTGCTAACCATATGTAAAATATTTCCATAGTTAAAAACTTAACTTGATGTTTAGGTACATACTGTCACACTAAACGCTAACAACCATTGTACTGTAACCCTCTTGTTTGAGAAAGTCAGCCTATTAGAAAGAAATAAATAGCTAAAATGGTCCCAAACAGCAATTTGGAAATGTTTTGACTAAGCCTGTGTATGGATGGAACTGAAAAGTGCAAGGTATTGTCCATGCTGCCTACATGTAGCATCAGTTTAAGCATAATTCAACATTTAACATGAAAAAGTAAATATTTAAGATGTGTTCATATGGATTATCATGTGACACTTTTGTGCAATTTTCATGACAAGTGGCATAGGGGCCCCAAGACGAAGCACATGTGTCCTGAACAAGAAAACAATGAATGAAACTAAAATAAATGAAATTTTTGAAATGGGTCAGATGTTAAAAAACATCAGTTAAAAGTTAATATTTTATTAGAATCATAATATTAAATGTATTATACAATCATGCATTTAATTAAAAAAAGTTTATGGAAACATAAGACATGCATTTATCTTTACAACAGTTCTAGGAGATAAAATATGTTAGTTTATGGAAACATAAGACATGCATTTATCTTTACAACAGTTACAGGGGATAAAATATGTTAATTTATGGAAACATAAGACATGCATTTATCTTTACAACAGTTACAGGGGATAAAATATGTTAGTTTATGGAAACATAAGACATGCATTTATCTTTACAACAGTTACAGGGGATAAAATATGTTAATTTATGGAAACATAAGACATGCATTTATCTTTACAACAGTTACAGGGGATAAAATCTGTTAGTTTATGGAAACATAAGACATGCATTTATCTTTACAACAGTTACAGGGGATAAAATATGTTAATGATTGAATACATTCTGAGCTTGCTTGTTTGTTCACAAAATTCATACACAATTAAAGATCCTGTATGTTGTAATTAAGGTTGTTACCACTCTTTAAATGAAATTTTATATACAGAATGTATATAATTATGCTTCTAAAACAATTTTCAAACATCAAAGAGTATGTAAAATATGCACTGCAAATATTTGTCCACATTATATGAGCCGCCTCACGACCAACATAGTGTGTTTGCAACCAGCATGGATCCAGACCAGTCTGATCAGGATCCATGCTGTTCGCTGTCAGTTTCTCCACTTGTAATAGAGTTGGTAAGCGAACAGCATGGATCCTGATCAGTCTGCGGGGATGCGCAGGCTGGCCTGGATCCATGCTGGTCGCAAACCCACTATGTTGGTTTTGTCGTGACACGGTTCATATGTAATCATTAAATTACACATGTATATGCATTCATTTCTTAATTAAAAGTTTGACTAAGACTTTATAGAAAAGAAATTTCTTATTACCTCCCTTTATTTACATGAAATGTAAATTTAGTAATATCTTTACATTAGTAATGCTTTTTGGAACTTACAATGTTGATAAATCTGAACTTGGGCATTATATTTATGATAAAAAACCCATAAAACATTGAGTTACAGGATCTTTAAAAGCTCATGAATGATGCATATTACATGTAATGTACAAATAAATTTTAGAGGAAAACAATAATGAATATTCACGCAAGAAATTTTATCAGACAACCTATGTATTACTATATGTTTAAAGGCCCATTAACACGGTTACAATTTCCAAAAAATACTCTGTGTCCGTATACCCAAGTTATCTTAAATTGCCTTTTTTTTTGTGTTTTGGCAATATTAATACACTTACATTGATTGTGTATGGCAGTTAAAATACCACTTTGTTTACATTTAGCTATATTTACCAAAAACTATTTCACAAAAGATGTTTTTTTTTGAGATGACGTAAGCAACTCACAAACATGTTCTAAGAACCATTTTGACATAATTGTATCATTTCACACAGATCAGTTTTGTACAACATCATAATTATCCTCTTTTACAGGTGCTTACATTTAGAAATGCATTTATTGTTCATGCATAAGAGTTACCCATCTCTAATGTTTACAACAGAACATTTCTCTGAAGTCCATCCGAAAATCTCTAGACGAAAACGAATACACTACAAAGTTGAATGTGTTATTTAAATACAGGACTATGTCGCACATATACTGAAATATTGGTTGTTCTTCGTACTTTAATTGTAATAAACGTACGCTGTGGAAGACTTCAATATGGTATATTAATGCTGGAATAATAGAGATGCACTGAAGTATCCCCGCCCCTATGCTTATCCTAGTGAATTTTGATGCAACATGCCGTCTGCTGTCACTTGCACCAATTTTCTTCTGTGTGCACAGCTTGCAAATAACAACAACATTACATGTAGTAATAGCAACCAATGGTATTACACAAAGCAGATATATCCCAGACAACTTCATAACTTCAGTGTAGATATCACGAAGAAGGCTGGAATCAGATGTGCATAACATTGGTCTAATGCAATTGACGCTCGTCAGTATAAGTAGTATAATAACAAATGCAATCTTTGCCCTTCTTCCTGAACCTTTAGTATGAAACTTCAAAGGGAAACATAAGCTGAGCGTCCTTTCTATGGTCAGACACACTACGATCCACGTGGAAAGTTGTGGGGCAAAGAAGAAAAGAAACGAGTCGATAAAACACATCACATCCGAATCCATGAAACTGGCTTCTACAGGCCGGCGTCCTAATGCATCCATTAACCTATAAACTAAACTAAACACGTCTGTTGCGGAAAGAAATTTAAAATAGGTTGAGGAGGCAAGAACACTGCTTCTTTTACCAGCTACCCAAATAGCCAGGGATGCAGAATTTCCAATTAACCCAATGACACACTGGGTGATTATTAAAGCGTAAAAAGAAATGATTTCCATATTTTCTCTAGTACTTAAATATTGTGTAATCATTTGAGCTCTGCTGGAATCATCGTATTCTCCTGTTGTGGAGATTAAATTCATGCCCGAATCCCCTGTTACAACATGTTCTGATGTAGTATTCATGTTTTCCTTTTTAATTGTCTTTTTTTACAATCTTAATATAACTTAAATGTCTGCCCTTAAGATAGAATTAAAATGAATAACGCCTAAGCTCAGAATTTAATCATTCTGCTCCAGACAAGAACATGAAGAAAAGTGTCTCTGTCAAGTTTCTTTCTATAGCTTTGATATATAGCCAAAATGCTACAAACTTAAGTATTTTTTCACAGAAAGTTCATTGTTTATAATCGCATAGAGCAGGTTATCACGGTTTCCTTTCGGTTCCTTCAAAATGAAAAAAAATTATTCCATTTACCAACACTTAATTTCCCGAGGAATCAAATTTTATTTCTACTGTCCCCACGTAGTAATTTAAGTACGCAGTCCACTCCATAAAGATGGACAATATTTTTTATTTCGAATCCTGATATATTAAATTTAATTTTTTACACCATAAAACAATCTTTTTATCAATGCATCTCACTTGAAATTCCTCAGCTGTTCAAGCTTGATATTTAGAGTAAAGTTTGACACATTATATGCACAGAAATATTTATACTCCAAAATTATTTTATATTACAATAATATGTCTTAAATTATTGTTAATAACTTCCCTATAACCGTGTGAAATGGTGGGAAACAATTAGTATGTAACTGATTATATATTCAAATTAAACAACTGAGACCTGTGTATGTGACCTTTTTTAATACCATTTTTCATACTTCAGCTTTAAATCACACCATTTTCTCACCACAGCTAAGGTTTGTGTAACAAATTTTCAAATTCCTCTTCGCATAATATAGAATGATATGGGAATTTAGAATCAAATAGTTAGAAGTTTATATTAACATTTTAAAAAGCCTTCAATAATGCCGAACTATTTCCCCTAGCTATTTCCTGGTCATCCAATATTTAACTAAACATTGATAGTAATATATTTTGAAAACTGAAACTGTTATGAAACCTATTCCCGTTCAGTGGTGAAGTTGGCGGTCTTTTTATCTCCAGCCTTTAATCACTGGGTTCGAATCTCGTCGGGGGACTTTGGATTCTTTAATTTGAAGAATTTTAAGTTATCCAGGAACCTAATGGAATGTCACTGATTCTAGTCATTATGCAATCAAAGCCATAAAATCCTGTAAAAAATGGGGGACCTTAGGCATGTAAGGTAAAATTAAGCTGAAAAGTCATGATATGACCCAGATGCCTCAAGATTCATGCTTGCCTCCAGATTCATGCTTGCCTCCAGATTCGTGCTTATTTTTTATGAAAATTTTGAAAATATACAAAAGTATTTTAAAGAATAATGTTGTGAAGTGAACAAAGAAAGTTATCAGCATATTGCAAACACAACAGCACTTGCAATCCACGTAAATTACCAGAAGGTGGATAACTTTATGCAAAAAAGCCCTTACTCAGTGTTAGTCACATGGTAGATTTATGGTGATAAATACTTCAAATTCAATCCTACATCACACAATACATGTAAATTTTTACTTAAATCCTCTTCTTAAAATGTAAGTTTATATTCGTAAAGTTTGATTTTCTTGAAATATTTTGGCTCATCTGAAGGCGTGTAGCTTTAAAGAGCTAGTTTGACTCACAACCAAAACAAAACATTCATTTTTGTATATAACTTGTTCAAGTTGAGTGATGCTTAAATTTAAACAATTCATTGTGAAGTTTTGAGATTCTTATCTCAAAATTATTACAGTACAGTAAAGGACTGGGAAAAATTACAGATAAATAGGCAAGTCATAGATGTTGGTGGCATAGCTGAACAATTTGTTCCTTTCACTATAAAGGTTGTTCCTTTAGTTGGTTTTTACATCACACCTATGCATTATTTCAGGCACCAACGGGCACCTGAGTAGAATCGCCAATGTTCTTAGTAAGCTAGCTCATTTGCCAGAATCCAAAGTCCATGGCAGGCTTCCTATTCTAAGTAATGTTAATAAAGATCTTTGACTTGAAACAGCTT